CCCTGGGCCCTCAAGCCTCACCTAGTCTAACCCACTCCCTTTATGGACAGGGAAATTGAGGTTCCCCAAACTCAGTAGGATTTAATGCCCGGCTTCTAGAATCCCAGTGCTTTCTTTAACACCGTTGTATAGTCCTGGGGGAGAGAGAAAGGTCTGTGAGCAGCACAGTCAGGGCATGCCTTTCTTAGAACCTTCTGTCCCCTTACTGAGCTTTGCAGGGCTTTTCCCATTATCTCCCCACGCCTGTCTTCCCACACTGAACCTAACATGGGCCTGAGCTCTCTCATTTGTGGGACTCAGTTGAGGGACTGCCCTTGGCTCAGCATTCTCCCCTCACTCTCCCATAGATATCGATGAGTGCAGCTACTCCAGTTACCTCTGCCAGTACCGCTGCGTCAATGAGCCAGGCCGCTTCTCCTGCCACTGCCCGCAGGGCTACCAGCTGCTGGCCACACGCCTCTGCCAAGGTACGGGTTGCCCGGGTGGAGCAGGCAGGGTAGTGTCAGGGGCTGATGGCCTGACGTCCTGGTTCCAGCCCCTCTCCCGACACAGACATTGACGAGTGCGAGTCGGGGGCGCACCAGTGCCCTGAGGCCCAAACCTGTGTCAACTTCCATGGAGGCTACCGCTGTGTTGACACCAACCGCTGTGTTGAGCCCTACGTCCAGGTGTCTGACAAGTGAGTCCACTCAACCCAGATCCCCTCAAAAACTGCAACTCCCCTCAGGAGGTTCTGCAGCTGAGTGGTGTTTGTTCGGGCTGGCAAGTACCCCCAAAGGCTGATGGGAATTGTAGTCTTTCCTGACTAAACCATACAGGCAATTATGGCAACAGTAGGAAGATCTCTTTGGGCTAATTATGGGGGTGGGCCAAATTTTGGGGGATGAGCTAGGACCTCACTCGTGTCCCCATCTCGGGGTCTCTAGTCGCTGCCTCTGTCTGGCCTCCAACCCCCTGTGCCGGGAGCAGCCTTCATCCATCGTGCATCGCTACATGAGCATCACCTCCGAGCGGAGCGTGCCTGCCGATGTGTTCCAGATCCAAGCGACCTCCGTGTACCCTGGGGCTTACAACGCCTTTCAGATCCGTGCCGGAAACTCACAGGGGGACTTCTACATTAGGGTAAGACTTTCTCCTAACCCAACCCCTCAACTGACATGTATAATCCAAAATTGAATTCCAGGAAGCCTTAAGTGGGAGACTCAGCTATGCCATCATGCCCCCGGGAGGCGGACTTTCTGTGGAAAGGTAGGGGTATTCTAAGTTCCTTGGTATAAACTACAGATTGTTAAATGCAATTCTAATGAGGTCCTTGGACACTGGAGTTTGAGTGTCCATGCCGGTTTCCACATCTGGCCTCAATTTCTTCACCCTCGGAACAAGGGACGGGCATGAGAGGCCTTTCAAGGTAACAGACACAGCAGGGTTGGGGAAGGGCAAGCAAGTGGAGCTGGGCCTCAGAGAGGCAGTGGGATTGGTCCAGGAGCCTGCGGCTTGAGAATCCAGCGCTCTGCTGGTGGAGGTGTCGGGAGGAAGGGATCCAGGTGTGACTCAGAACCAGGACTGCAGGTGTGTGTCTGGTAGCAGTGCTCACTTTCGCTGTCTGAAATTGGATGCTTTGAAGAGGAGGCTGCCTGTTCCAGGTCACCAAAGGCCCCACCACTCCCAAGAATCTCACACCTGGCCTTGAATCATCAATTAACACTGATTAGACAAAATAACTAGCTGGAAAGGGTGGGAAGTGCACCAGTGGGAGACTTTTGAGGGCAGGAGCCTGGGTACAGGAGACGAGATGTCTAGGGTGTCACAGAGCCAGGTGAGAGCCTTGGGTCACAACCTGGCCAGGGCTGTCCCTCTCCATCTCACAGTTAACTGGTTGTGGGTACAAGACATGGGGCTCAGGCAGGGTTCTTATGGATAGGTTGACGCAATCTGTGTGTCCCCCTACCCACTGTGCCCTGCAGCAAATCAACAACGTCAGCGCCATGCTGGTCCTCGCCCGGCCGGTGACTGGCCCCCGGGAGTACGTATTGGACCTCGAGATGGTCACCATGAACTCCCTCATGAGCTACCGGGCCAGCTCTGTACTGAGACTCACCGTCTTCGTGGGGGCCTACACCTTCTGAGGAGTGGGTGGGGGAGCCCTCAGGGAGGGGGCAGTTCCCTGTAGCTGAGGAGCCTGGGGCTCAGGGATGACTGTGTTCTGCTAAAAGGGGAGATGCTGTTGTGAAAGGTAGACAGAGAAAGGCAATAAAGGGAGAAAGAAGGAGTCCTGGTGGCTGTGGGGTGGGTAACACTGTAGTGAACCCCAGACTGGGGAAGGGGCCAGGCTTGTGAAAGGTGGGCTAAGTCCACTCAAAGTAGGGGCGGGGGGCTCTGCTTAGGCTGAGGAGGCCCTGTTGATGCAAGCTGGCAGCTGCGTCCCCAAGGCTGGGGTTTGGCCATCAGAATCACCCTGAGAAGAGAGGAGGTACTGAGGCTGGAGACTCCAGGCTACGGCCCAGAAATCTGGGCTTGGCGAGTTGGCAGGGGCCCTGAGAAGCCCTGCTCTAAATAGTGCCCAGAGGCGCTGTGTTTCATTCCTAGCTTGGCCTCAAATGTTCACTTTGCACAAACCCAAGTAGCTCCCTGGCCTGTTTTCCAATCCATAAAATGAGAGGCAATTGGATCATTAGTGTTTTCCAAGCTCTTATCAAAGGCCAATTTACGTCATCAGGGAACTCTGATGACAGAGACTAGATTCAAAGTTGCAGTGCCTCACTGACTCTGTCTCCCTAGCAGTCTCAGTGCTCCACCAGGGGACCCCAAGGTCCTGAGGAGCTCGGTTTAAAACCCCTGGACCCAACTTCCCTGAGTTCCTGCCTAGACATCTCACAAGGCCTCTGGGACCGGGCATCTTTTCCACAACACATGCAGTTGCAAACACTTAGGTTTTTATTGTAGCCCAAGAGATTCAGATTAAAAGGCTGGCGAACCTGGGAAGATGAGGCTGGGATCTGTCTCGTGGCATAGGTCAGGTCAGGGGGCCGGGGCTGCAGTAGAGCTGGGACAAGGTCCTGCTCAAAGCAGGCCCCAGATTCCTGCATGAAGAGAGATACAGGCAAGGGTCAGGCCCCGGGCCACTGTGGTCCTGACCCCACCCTCCACATTCTGTCCCTTGCCTTCACCTCTGTAGCTGCCCACACTTGATGGTGCTCAGCATCATCTCCTGTTCCTTGGGGGTGCCACAGGAATCATAGGCGGCCAGTAGGCTGGGGATGGGATGGGGTGTTTGAGTTTCTAAGGCTTGACAGTGGCACACTGCTGGCCCATTCTGAGTTGCTTCAGGCCAATGTCATGGAAGACAGGCAGGAAGGGGTCAGCATGGGTTGGAGGAGTCAAGACCACTGCTGCGCTTCCTAAGCCTGGCATTGAAGGGCTCCATCCCACTTGCCCTCCCTTCATGCTTCTGCAAGTGGTCCCCAGTTATGGCCATCTATGACCCAGCGTTCATGGCCCAACCCCTTCCTCTAGGAAGCCACCTCTGCTGCAGTTGGAGTGTCTTCCTTCCTTCTGTAGACTCCCTAATGCTTGAAATACTGTTTGGGCCTGGCTGACTCCATCTTCCTCACCACCTGACCTCCATGAACTCCCCAGAGTTCATCTGGGTCTGTCTATCTCTGGATCTGGCCAGCCCTCTCCACAAAACATGGGCCGAGCTGAATTCTGTGCAGGCAGGGCAGGAGCAGAGGACTTTTAAGGGGCCCAGTGAGGGCCTACCTGGCAGGGGTGCTGAACCGATCCACCAGGGCTGCTGCTTTCTCCCCACTCACTCCACACACCTGCATCAGCTGCCTGGCAAACACCTCCTGCACTGACTGGGCCTAGGGTTGGGGAGACTCAATAAGGAGGGTCTGGGGCTAGAACTTGTAAGGAGGGGCTGGGCAGGGGCAGTACCTTGTTCTTGATGGCTCCTGAGTTGAAGTCATTGAAGGTGAGGAGTGAACAGACAGGATCTGGGGAGGGCCTGGACCCTGATTCAGCATCCCCTGGGGTTCCCCAGGGGCGACTGCAGAGGGCACGGCCCTGAGGGAAAAGGGGAGTGAGGCCAGGCCAGAGCTGTAGGGAACAGCCCCAGGCAGTGCTCACCCAAACCCAGGCCTCAGTGGGCCAGCCTGAGAAATAAGGCTCTCACTCACCTTGCTTTCCTTGGGGAGCACAGGGCCCCAGTAAGGGGCCAATACCAGACCGATGCACTTGCTCACCTGATAGAATCTCTGCAGGCCCCGCGTCAGGAGGGCCAGATAGGCAGCTGACTCCTTAATGTCTGCTGTGCGCTTCACAAAGAATCCATCGATGACCTGGGCAGAAGATCAAGAGAGGGACAGTGACTCTTGGCTGGAGCCATGGACCACAAGGTCCCTGCCAGCCTGGCCCTTCCCTCCCAGCTCACCTGAGTATTGGTGACAGCCTGTAGCAGCGTGCTCTCGGGAAGGCTGAGCTTGTGCACTGAGCCATATTCCTCCACCAGGTACACTCGGTGCCCTAGGCCACAGCGTTTCAGCCGGAACTGGGCAGGCAGACAGAGGGGCAGGAGGGACAGGCCTGGGTGCCCATGGTCCCCTATGTCCATATGTCCCACTCAAAATAATAATGGAACCATGGTCCCACCAATTAACCTCCTCATCCTCCCCAGCCTCTTTACCTGTCTTGGAGTGGCCTCCATACCTTTGCTCGTGCTGTTACTCTTTCATGGAAAGCCATTCTACCATCTCTGAATGATCCCGTTTTCAAACCTCCCTTGACCTATATGTGGCCTCTGACTTACAGGGTCAGCCCAGCAGGCAGCACTGAGCTACAGCTGCTGCAGTTCCACTCCTGGAGGTTTGGACTTTGATTACCCTAGACTGCAGGGGCTAGACACCCCAGGGGTCTTACACATGTTCCTCAGCACAGCCCGAATACCCTGCCCACCTACTGTGCACCTGGAGGGACCTGAGGGGTCTGATCTCAGGGCTGTTCTGGAGCAGCTCTAATGGAGATGTGGCTGGAGTTGTGGG